AATTTAAAAGTTCGGATTTTTGCGGAAGGACGATAACCGAGCTGACAAATAACCAAAAACTAGTAGTTAACAGTTAAGTGATGTTTCATTATTTTGGTCAATATCATGGTCAGCGATTGTCAAATCATTAATAGTTAACTGACAATTGGCCTAAAGACAATCTGGTMCCCCCATCCACACTAACACAGAAGAGAATCAACCTACAATAAGCAACTCTACTTACCTACGATTGCTTGGTGAGTTAGTGACTACAGAGTAGCTTTTACCCCGCCCGAAAGATTTAAAATATGTCTTTCTTTGTAATAGTAAGGGACCGGTCATTGTCGCCTTGGAAATGGGGGAGGGGGCATCATAATCACGACATCATAACGAATTAACTGATCTTCCAAGTCGCCGGGTGCTCTTAATTCATGATCCTGCCTCAATAGTGGTTGCTATTAAAATTCCCCTTCAGCTTCTAAAAACCACATGATTCTCCGGCAAAATCTTGCGACCCTCCACCCAGGCGATAAGAAATGAACCGCGAAGTGTAACATCTCTTTACGCGGGYTTTTCTTATTAGCAGGTGCCACCTGCGACATTTATCGCCAAATCTAGGCAGATTTTTTAGGAAAAAAAGTTTATGTAGATTTTTCCTTCCATTTRAAAAAGCGAACGAAAACAATCAATGCAACTTCTGCAATTAATGTAATATTTTTCCAAAGTATTTATTCTTCCATTTTCTCCAAATATTCATTAAAAAATCATAACTTAGGCTATATGCGAGAAAATAATTTTCCTTCACTGGCAAAGTCAAAATATTTTGTCTATCTGCATTCAGTTCTCGAGTGGTTGTTCTGCTTCATAAATATATTGTTGATAGCGGAATGATGACTTAAACAGTTCGAAACAGGCGTAAAAACAATTATAATCTTCGAAATCGAAATAAGATTTGGACCTACCTGTTGAGCAATCACTGTATCCAAAAAGAAGTAACGAAAAACTCTCGAAAAACTTGTTTTGAAATGAAGATATTTCTATATTAAAACGTTGAACATTAGAGGGAAACTGATGACAAAAAGCCGAAGAAAAAGTATCAAAAATCTCGTACCTTGTGGCCAGAAAGTTGGACTTTGAAGGTTCGTGATTTAACGATGAAGTCAAAATAACAAAAGTCGGAAACGATAAGGATGACGTGAGTTCTTGATAGAGCTTCGCTGCAGTAATTTTTGATCATATTGGACTTTCGACGCGAACAATTCAATTTCAAGTTTTCTTACTTATTTTTCTTTTATTTGCTGTTGTAAACAAACGAGTCGAGTGATATTAAGCGATTTATTTATTAACGAAGAGATTGATATTAAGAGATAATCAGCCGGTCGTCTATGGTAGTATTTTCAGTCCACAAATGAGCTCCCTTCAGATATAGATGTAGGGAAAAAAAAGAGAATTTGAAAACGTCTTTCTTAATTTCAAGCATTTAGTAGATCTCCTTTCCATTGTATAGTAGTGATAAATTATGCGTTTGGTGTGTATAATGAAATAGAGAGRATAAGAGAAAAATATCAAATGCCTTTGGCGGGAATCCATTAGTTTTCTTTTGAGGAAAATTCCTGAAATTGTAATTAGGATGTCTTTAAAATACATTTATTTTACTGCATACAAAATTCTACATATAAAATGAGAAATTATTGGAAAATCCAAATGACATTACCAACTACACAATACATTTTATTTTACAATATGTGCATTTTTTTTCCTTTTCTTCTTGGGATGAAATTTTGAGGAGTTATTATCTTTTGATCTTTTTCGCTGAGTATTTTGGTTTTTGTTGTACTTCTTTATTTTCCTGAAGGAAAACAAAACAATAAATATAGAGAAAGAAATACATAATATAAATACAAATATATAACTTCCTATTAATGACCCATTAATATTTTTATAGCCTATAATTTTTTTCCTCTCTGTTGTACCATGAAAAAAATCCCTCTGGAATCTAGGGTTTACTATAACCATGACTGCATAGGAAAGAGAGCTGTTAAAAATAAGTGTGCACAGAATGCATCAATGCTTGCATCATCCAACCCTGCAACATTGCGTGTGGCAGTGCCTGCAATTTTCCAGTGTCACTTGCAATATTACAAAAGTTATTWAAAAAATGTTGCAAAAGTGCACATATTGTTGCACTTTAATAACTTACTTTTCAAACACTTTAGTTTTTGTTTCTTCTTTATTTACCCTGTTCATATCGGGATTTGAATCTATTTCTTGATTTCCCTTCAAGCAAATAAAGATTTATTTGAGATTTTAATGCAAACACAAGAAGCAGGGCAAAAAATAATAACTCATTAGTCACCARTCATGATGATTGCCCAAATTAGTTTTAGCTCAGTCATAACTTATTTCTGGCTCAACGTTACTGGTCAAAATGACCAGCAAAGATTTAACCAGACAATTACCAATTATTCTGGTAGGATATTATCCGATGACCAGCCATTATTTTTAGAATTGAAAAAGTATATGAAATCTTGATATGAAGCCCTACCTTGTTATGGCCAATAATTGTTGAATCTTCTTCAAGGTCAAGGTCACAGACTGTTGTCACGGTGACAACTTGTTCTGGGTGATCATATGTTGTATCAACTGATGTTGAATGGTCTTCTGGTTCATCTTCTTCTTCTGATTCCAATGCATCTATTTAGAAAAAAAACAATGGTAGTGGTAGGTCTTAAATGAAGAAATTTTGCAAGGAACATATGTATACCTAGCTCTTGTCTTTGCTTTCTAAGATGTTCCATGAACTCTTCTCTTTTCTGAAAAACAAGAACCGAGTATAACATGAATATAGATGCATCTTCCAGTCAAGAAATTACCTAACTGCCACCAAGTCCCTGTAGGTACTGTATATAAATAGCGTCCGAAAYGTCAGTAAGTTTTTTCATCTTTTCACGGTGTATAATTTACCTTTTCATCATTACTGTTTCATTAGAAACACTGACRCAGCTCACACTAGTTTTTAGCTAATTATATCTTCTGGGATCTTGGATTGGATTTTCCTGATGGACTCAGCAATTAGTGATTAGAGCTACAGAATATAGAATTCCTTGGTTTTACAAGACACCATTTGCTGTCCAGTGGAGTGATCATCAGCTGAATCAAACGTTTTCGATAGAATTCTTTCTGGCTGACATGGTGGTGGTCAGTGCTTGACCKTGTACCATGGCCATATGAAGCAAATAAGCTTGATTCAAATGCTTTTATCAGCTGATTGAAACCAAACAATCCAAGACATAGGATCCAGAATCCCTGAAACTCCGGAAACACTTTCATCCCTGTCATATTTAACGAATAACAATACCTTTTTCTTAAGTTCTCTTATCTTTTCTTTTTCTTTCTTTTTTAGATCATCCATCGCCTTCTGACGACGTTGATTTTTTCGTTTCCTAAACCCAAGTAGATAGTCCCTGTGAAGATAAAAACCTTCCTTAGACCTTCCTCATTAAATAACGCTAACTTAACATCATATATCTTAATACAAACTTTCTCAAATCTTCATCAAAAATGATGATTTTCTTTTCTTTAAAAGACTTTTTTCCCTTCGCCATCTTGGTTTCCAATGGGGTATACCGCTACGCACGAGTATAGCTGGCTCATCTTCGATGATAATAGCTTAAAACTGGGAATTTGTATTTTAAAAACCTCAAAATGCTTGATTTCTTAATTTTTATCTCATAATTGCGTTCTATTTTCCTATTCGAGCAAATAAAATAAGACAAAACTTCTACTATTTTTTAGCGATGAAAGTATTTTTATCCGTGGGATCCCTGTGTAGCGTGGTTACAAATSTCCATAAGCTAATCATGTGACAAGAATGATAATCATTTGATTTTTTCTCTTCTTCTTGTAGTTTGATGTTTAATAATTCTTCATCTAAAGAAGTAGAGCTGCCAGATTTTCCACCGAATGCTATGCTGAGGCCTAAAGTACTGTCAGAAGTGTTGGGACAAGCAAATACTGGTGGGGTAGTCAACACACTGTAAGATATAAGACTGACTTACGAAATCTTACTGGCAGAATTTTTGAGCCTAGTCTTYGTAATAAGCTTAATTATTTTCTAGAATAGATGTCTTAAAAAAGTGTTTATAATAACAGTTCATAGTACTGCTATTTAGTGACCTAAATAATCTACATTGTCTCCCCCGCTTGCTTTACCTAATGATTTGATGAATTGTGGGATAATTTGGGGGTAAAATAAGTTGACATTTAATGTGTATAACCTATAGTTTATTGCACATATAGGATGCAAAAAATTCAGTCCCAGCATATTCACCCCCGTCCTCCTGCTTATTTCTGAATTTTCCATGAAACTCTCCACTCCCGTCTGCTCAACGATCACACATATATACAAGCCTACATGAATCTAAATATACATTGTAGACTTATACCTTCTTAAATTTGTGTTACCTTAGCCTGTTAAACAGTGATGGGTCAATATTATCACATGCTGGGAGTCCAGACAAAGATGCCAAAGTAACTGCTGCTATTGCATCTAGCATATGGTCGGCATATGAAAGGAATGGTCGATTAGCATTTCATAATGAAGATCTACAGGTGGTCTTCATGGACTGTGAGGTAATGAATGAACAGCCAATTTTTTATACTCTAGTTTTTGAAGTTTTGTTACAGGCCTTGATTGCACATGGGATTATTTTGAATATTCCTGTATAAATCTGTCAGTGATCATGGAATACTAATTGGAAAAACCATGGTATGAATGACAGTTAACGCATGCAGTATTTTATATTCAAAAGGTGTCATCAATTTTGTACTTTGGCATTGATTGACAACTAATTCTCTGTCTTGTGCTATTTCACAACCATGTGAAACTTGCTGAGACTGTATATCAGTATGTCTCATACTGTGAAATAAACCTGCTAATATCATAAAATCCTCRTTTTTCATCATTAATAGAATGGAAAAGTTGCTATTGCAAAAGTCGGCAATCTTCTTCTGTGTTTATATGCAAAGGAAACAGTGGGTTTTGGAATGCTAAAARCCAAGGTAATAAAAATATTCAGAATTATTKTTAGATTGTCCTTATCTCCCTATGAGTTATTTACTCTGRTTTTCCATATTCTGCAAACTCGATAGTTGTGAGCTGCATTCTGAAATTTGATTTTTCGCTGCTGTCATTAAAAAATAATGAGTCGGGGACCTTTCAGTAAAAAACCAATTTCACAACAAGCCAATGAAATGTAGGAGTTTACAGAATATCAAAAATTGTGTAATTAGGGCTCCCCTTGAAATGCTTGATCCTGGTTGTCTGTAGTGCAGTAAAAAATAAGAAACTTATAAGTTTTTCTGTAGTGGCAATAAATTGGTTCCTGTAGAAATACAGCATATGCATACCCTGAAATAAACTGTACATTCATTATTGCACTTTATATTTTTGTTTTTGGAGATATTTAAGTGCAAAATTCAGAATCTATCTTCTTGAGCTAGTGGGTACTGGGCATCCCAGACTGCCCTGTYTGAATAGGTCCAGTCAGATAGCAATCATTTTTACCTCATTCCTAGTTAGATATTAACTCAATACTGTTTTTCTTTTTCAAGGTGCAAGCTCTCAGAAGTTATCTAGAAGAACCACTAAGACAAGTTGTGACCACATGATAATAAAATAAACAGATCTAAATTTGACAAGAAAATAGAATATTATAAGAATCATACTTTTCTCTGTAACTTCAAAGGCATTAAAATAAAGTCAAATAGAAACATCYTAGTTAATAATTCAACAATTGGATTTTGTAGCGATTTGGAGATCTATATCTATAATTGCTAATAAAACTGTATAGGAGTGGGTGCCTGATCAACTGCAGACATATATATCATGTAGAAAAATTCACATATTTCAGACTCATCCCAAAAGCACCAAGGAATAAAAAGATTTTTTGATATGAATGTGTTATTTATTATTTTATCTTTGCATATGTGTAAAAAGATTGGATAATCTTTGAATCAAAGGATGAATCAATGAGAGGGTTTCACTAGTAAGAAGGTGTTCCTCTCCCCATTGCCTGCCCCCTGCAAAAAAAGGTTAAACCTTTTGAAGCTAGATTAGATACTGGAATTTAGTAGTTGATTTTTATGAAGGGAGGAGAACCCAAAGAAAAACCCTTGAAGCACAGGAGGTACCCAACAAAACAACTCTACTCACATATGACACCAAGCCTGGAAGTCAAACCTGGGTTGCATTGGTGTGAGGCAACACATTAGCAGTGCACTTAACCAGAAACGCTAAAGAATCAAACTTGCTCATGACTACAGAAATGGAATAGAACTCCTTTGCATGTTAATGTTCTGTCAAATCAGAGGAGAAATAAAAGTAAAAAAAGCTACTGACAAAATGAGCGCATTTAAGAAAATATCCTGGTAACTATGACAACAGAAGAGTTTTAGAACTGCCTTAAATATTTATCACATTAGAGCAGAAATATGGAAAGGAAATAAACTTCTTTTTCTAAAGCTATGACAGGATGATCCCAATTTAAGAAACAAATTTCAGAGAAGAACGACGTTGCAGTAGCTATKACAACAGAAGAGGTATTGAGCTCCCTTAAATATTCTGTCCAATCAGAGCGGAAGCGATACCTCGTGGTCATGGAGTGACGTAATAACTTTCCTTTCGACCGCCATAATTTTTCACATAAAGCTGTGCTCGGCCTTTGATGTCGAGTTTCTCTAGATTATTGCGAGTACTCTCTCCTAGAAATACTCCTGAGGTACTTTGCTCGATAAGGAACATGTCTAGATACGATAGAGGACGTTCTTTTGATATGGGGGGTCGTTCAGACCGAAAAAGGTGAGACTAAAGACCCGATAAAGGAGGCTCGTGTCATGAAAATGGCGGCYACCTTCTTCTCCGTCGTCAAATCTTCTTCTTTGGCCAGGTTTTTAGGCACAAAATTAACGTAAAACGGTGTTTTTACGATGATGGAGGYTTTGACTACATTAAAGTCGTTTTTTAAGAGAATTTGAAGTACGAATGGATCAAGTAAGGCGAATTGTTGACCGTTTAGTTTGGCGAACAAGAGTATTTGCACTACGTACCTTCGAGCGAATGACATCGCATTTTTATGAAACAAAATGTTTTTTTTCCTTTCATTTCCTTGAGTTTTTAAAATTTAATAACGTTATGGTTAATTTAAGCTTTTGAAATGAAGAATATGGTTACATAACTTCAGTATATTTTTCATCTTTTAGCTTTGATACATAAGATGAATTAATTCTTTTGAAGAAATGGTGCCTAATTTTGTATATTATTTGGTGTTAAAGTTTGGTAATTATTTGTCGAAACGGACCTTTTAAAAGATCCTCGAGCAAGCTTTTATATTAAATTTTCCAATTTTTTAAATATATTTAACTTATCATTTGAATCTTTTTTTATGATGAAAAGTTTATGTTGAGGATTTTGGTTGTCAAAATATCAGAAGTTCTTACAGATTTTACTTTGATTACAGCCTGATGGGCAGTGGCGGTGGTAGAGGTGGCTATGGTGGTGGCGGCGGCAGCTATGGAGGAGGGGGAAACCGATTTGGAGGAGGTGGTGGAGGTAAAGGTGGCAAGTCTAACAGCCAGCCTGGAGCATCRCTGAGGAAACCTAGATGGGATCTCAAACAGCTACCAAAATTTGAGAAAAATTTCTACAGAGAACATCCAAATATTCAAGCTCGGACAATGGAAGAAGTTGAAGCTTATAGAGGACTGCATCAACTTTCTGTACATGGAAGAAATGTACCTAAAGCTACGCAGACATTTGAGGAGACTTCATTTCCTGATTTCATTATGGAGAACTTTAAAGCCAAGGGTTTCGACGCACCAACACCTATACAAGCACAGGTAGAACCCATAAAAATTGTTATACATGTTTATAAATGATGGTATAAAGATTTATCTCATCTACSAAACTGGCTTTATGAATTTTGCAATATCGTTCTTCCTGTTTATCTTATCTTGTTTTCTCTAACCCAAGGGATGGCCAGTAGCACTGACAGGAAGAGATCTGGTCGGTATTGCACAGACAGGTTCAGGAAAAACACTATCAGTAAGTCATAACAAGTCTTCAGTAAATCCTTAGCATAACGGTAACCCAAGAAGATATGTGTACAGGTGTTGGTTGTACCAGACTTAAATATATGAGGGTGAGAGTTTGATTCCCTTGGTGAAATGCTTAGGAGAGGGGAAGGATAGTCTATAGTAGACTAGCACCTCAACAAGTATTGAGAGTTCAACACTTGAGCTACATGTAATTTCTCAAATCTTCCATTTCCTTAAACACACTAGTTTTTAGCTAGTTATATCTTCTCATTTCCTTAAACATTAATTTTGTCATGTCCTGTGAAGTGGTATCAGTTCAAAATTTCACACCTGTTATTTCCCAGTTCCCCTGGAGGTTTGAGACAATGACTCCATTTTAGTTAATTTTAAAACCAGCAGTAAAACTCCTGCATCTTTGTTTGTTTTTACTGTCATTAATTACAACATTTATGTGGCATTAGAACTAAAATTAAAATGTATCTTTTATGTTTTATAGTTTATTGTTCCTGCTATTGTGCACATCTATAATCAGCCTCTGCTTCAACCWGGAGATGGACCTATTGTAAGTACTCATGGACTTGTATTAGAWTTCAATTAAAGTAATGTAATAGGACTCCATGCTGTCCAATTAAGAAATAATTGGACAAGGAAAATTCYGAGGACTGASAAAATTGGATGAGGCCATAGGCYGAGTCCAATTTGGCAGTCAGAGGAATWTTTCAAGTCTAMTTATTTCTTGATTGGGGAGCATGAAATCCCATTACCTAKTAATTAWATAGYTGCCTRATTRATCCCATATCAACAAGACCTGTCCAATTAARAAAATAATTGGACAGTTACCTATATGGGATTAATGAGAAGCTGTATAATTATACTAATTAAGAAATAGCAGGGCAAATGATGATTTTCTAATTATTAACTTAATCATGTTTACACATATAATGTAGACATATTGAATTCCTCGTTGCTGAAGCTCAACTTCAGAATCAGTTTGTATTATTTGAAATTTCTAGTTCAAGTTTATTGACTCTTTACATCTTGTGTTCCTCTTTAGTGTCTTGTTTTGTGTCCTACAAGAGAACTTGCCCAACAAGTACAGGTATGCTTATCTCTTATTTTATACTCTAGGTGAAATAATTTAATAAAGTTTTAAAACAAATATGCACCACAGTTGCATTAAAAGTGTGTCTAGTATTGGACAATATATATGTATCTGTACTTCTCTATTTTTGCATGTAGTATTTTCCTCCTAAGATCTCTAAAATATTGTTCTGATGGTGCATGACTATGAAACTTTTATCTAGGAAATTAAGAAAAAAAATTATTATTTGATTAAACTTTTTCTTTATAATTTCAAGGGTGTTTCCAGTCAATACGATAAGATCTGTAAAGTAAGAAGTACCTGTATTTATGGYGGTGCCCCAAAAGGACCTCAGATCAGGGAATTAGAGAGAGGTTTGTATTCATGCTTTGAACCTATAGATCTTTTAAGTTACTAAAATACCTTTTTTTGCCATTCTTTAAAATTTCCTCTGTCTTTTCAGGTGTTGAAATTTGCATTGCTACTCCRGGACGATTTATCGACATGTTAGAAGCACGCAAAACAAACTTACGCCGATGCACATATCTTGTTCTTGATGAAGCCGACCGCATGCTTGACATGGGTTTTGAGCCACAAATTAGAACCATWATTGAACAGATTAGACCGGACAGACAGACCCTCATGTGGAGTGCCACTTGGCCCAAAGAGGTAGAAGGACTGGCTAGGGACTTTTTGAATGATTATGTCCACATCACAGTTGGCAATGTTGGCCTTACAGCTAACCACAAGATCTTGCAGATTGTTGACGTCTGTGATGAACCTGAGAAAGATCATAAGTAAGTACCTGTGTGTGTGAATTTATCCTTAACTTCAAATTTTATCAATACCCTGAAACAACCTCTGGYCTGATCAAAGTCGGRGCATGKTTAAYTCACAGATTGGAATTTAGCATGTTGGGGTTTGCAGGGGGAGGAAAATTACAGAACCCAGTGAAAACTCACCAACCCAACAAACTCAAATGAGATGCTGAGTCCAGGAAGTGAACCGAAGACCCTAGAGTTGAGAGAACAGTGCAATACCCATAAACCCCCCCACTCCCCCTTGAAAATAAAAAAGTAATGTCAAGCTTATGATGAGAGAAATCAAYGATTCCTGATGTCACTTTAGTGACATGTTGACAATTTTGAATTCCTCGTTACTGAAGTTCTTGACTTGACTTCATTTACATATATGACTAGCTCAGGGTTTATGTCATTTTTGATTAGTGTATGGATATTTTTCAGGCTTCTCAAGCTTCTGGAAGAAATAATGGGAGAGAAAGAAAATAAAGTAAGTTGCTGGTTGAAATATACTAATTATCGAATCTCCATTAGAAAGTGTCCCAGTTATGATTTGCAAAACTTGAAGAATGCAAAATTTGAAAAAATAATTCAAATGATGCAGTAAAATACATTCTTWAGTTGTTTTTCTCATAAGTAATGTAGTATTGTGTGCAATATTTCAGACCTTGATTTTCACTGAGACMAAGAGAAGAGCTGATGATCTCACAAGGCGACTAAGAAGGGATGGGTAAGGAAGAAATAATTAACATTTGAAATGTTTCAGTGACACTGATTTACAGGCAGCACTGTTAGTAATCAAAGTAGTAAAGGAGAACARTAAGTTTGGTCTCAACACATCAATCTACATCAGATTATGGATGACACTATTAAGGAAAATGTCGTTCCTTCATCAAACATTCCTTTGTTTCAACTTTCATTATCTTCTTAATCAAACACAAAACATTAAAAGACTTGAAATTCATTACTCCAATTAATTCAATGTTGTGGTTTTACTTGTTCCAGGTGGCCTGCCATGTGCATTCATGGGGATAAAGCTCAGCAAGAAAGAGACTGGGTCTTGAGTGGTAAGATTTCACACTTAAACAGTTTTACAAAACTTTGCCATGATTGTAGATATTTATAAGCATGGACTTCTCAAATACAGTTTTCCAACTAAGTTTGTTCTGTCTTACAGAATTCCGAAAAGGACATGCACCAATCTTAGTAGCAACRGACGTTGCCTCCAGAGGTCTAGGTATGTTCTTAAAACGTTATCAGATATTTCATACTGTTATACTATACCTAGCATACCCCTTCACATATTTAGCTTTACAATTTATCACCCAATTCTTAATTTATGCCCCATAATTGAAGTGTTGTAATTATATGTGGCTAACCAATTGAATGTTATCTTCAGTAGGTTATGTGCATATTAGTTTTTATTATAATGGAGGGTCGGTATATGACAATGGCCTTCTAGGGTTTGGATCCAGAGTGTTCATGACTGGCATACGTTGCTAAAACAGCTGATTCCGAGGGAGTATACAAAAGCCAACTTTGATTTCATACGTATTTCTAACTATACCTCACCAGGCAAGTATTGCTAAAACTGTAGGTAACTCAAAAACGACATGATTCCAATGGACCTCAAACACTTTTCTTACTGTTTCTTATTGTCCTCACAAACGTCCTGYGTTAGGCATGCTTGTAAAAACCAAGGCAAGTATCAAATAACTTAACATAATCTGCATCTAACTCCATAGTAGCAACTCAGTAGTTAGGGTATTGGTTTAGCAACTTAAACAAAAAAGACATGTTGTTACCAGATCACTCACTCACTCAGTCTTCTGTGCTGTGCTTCAGATACTACTGTGTATTACTGATGTGGGACAGCTATTTGGTGATCATAAGTAAGGGGTTATCTGATTAAGTGATAATACTCCCACTTGATCCTATACAGAAACTGTATTCGTCCTTGGATTTTTTTGTTAAGAAATTCTTGTTGTGATCTCTTGTTGTTGATGTCGTCATTTCTTCACTCATCAATGAAGTTTGACTGATGTCCGATAAGATTGAACAAGAAGCAACCTATAAAATCCTATCAAGCACAACTATAGTAAAAAAAATAGCCTGTAATTTTCTAATTTCCAGAGGATGTGAGAATTTCAATAAAAATGTTTAAATCTAATCCAGTGTGGTGGTTGTACAGATCTATTTATTTATTTTTTCCCCTTGGGTTTCACATTAGTGCAAGCTTTGTGGAACCTGYCAAACCTCTGTACAACCACAAATAAGAGAGAATAGTTGCATTAGCGTAGATCACAGTAAAACAATTCAGTTGAATTCATTGAGCCTACAGTAGTCTGGCTAATTGAGCCTATGGTMGTCTGGCTCCTAGCTTTTCTTTAAAACTGCTGTAGACAATTCACCTTTTCGGCGCTAGCTTGGACTGTGTTATGGTCACCAAAAAGTTCGGACATCGTTCTCGGATTTCCATACAAATTCACTGACTTTAAAGAGAAAATTTAGGTAGATTTCTTTAGTTAGCTATCTTAACAGCAGTAAGAAAAGCTTCAATCAAGCTAGAAAAATGATTATTTACTTGTATTTAGAGAACTAACTAAATACTAAGTAAATAGTTCATTTAGAGTCAGTACATTTTTATGGAAATTCGAGAACAATGTCTGAGCTTTTTAATGACCGTAACACAATCTAAAACGATTTATACCCCGTGACGGCTAGTGCTGAAAAGGTGAATTCTGGAATGATATTGGTTAGCTAGAAATTTCCTATGTCAWAGAATGCTAACATTAGAGTAACATTAATATAAACTTAAAAATATATAACTGCTAATAATTTCTAATAAGTTAATATTAATTAATGTGCCTTGAAAACTTGAAATTGTTTAGCTCGAATGACTTTGAAAGTTTTAACACAATATGTGATAATTTTTTTGTTTTAGTAATCAATTTTTGAAGTTTTTTTTACTTGAGACCAGATTACTATAGGCTCAATACCTAACATCTTTCTATTTACATTGCACTAAATTTGATTGCATYAAAGATATGCAGTAGCAATCTTGCCAATTAGCTTGAGCATGTTTTTCATTTCAGACCACAGGCGTTCCCTATAGTATTTTTTTCTTTGTTTGACCATTGTGCATGAGAATGCTCACAAAATAATATGGATACAACTCAAACTAAGAATATTATTCTCGAGRGAATGGCATATGTTGTGAAATGGGAAAACACTGCACCAACTAATTATAATGCAARTTGTACCAGGATCTAGTGCAATGTAAATGGAGCAATAGCAAGCGACTAGTGTGCTAGGTGCAGTATTCAATCAGTTTTGGCAGAGGACAATTTGTGACGGATATTTAGCAGGGCCCACGAAGCTTGGACTAATATGAGGGGTCTTCTATTTCACTTTAATAACTACTGTTCGGCAACAATTTTCAATAATGACATTACGACGAATTTTTGTTGGCTTTCGCTTCCTCTTGTTCATCTGAAAAGCACCGAGTCATGGATTCTGGTTCCTGCCGTGAGGAGATCATGATCTTAACAGGCCGCAGAAAGGCTTCTCTTAGAGAGTAGCTAGGGGATGGAGAGGAAGGAACCGTGAGTACAGGGGAAAGGGTAGAGGGGTGAAATACTGGTGACCATTAGCATAACTCAGCTGTGCATCAACAAGGAAATTGAATCATGGTTTCTATGACGACACTGGAACAGTGAAATTCTTTCTTCAGAATTTTATTGCGTAGCAATTTGGCATTTCCTATTGACGATCATTTTAACTTCTTTCGTAAAAGGAATAAAATTAGCTGGGTTGTACTGAAACAATTAGCTTGCTCTAAAAAGTTTTTGGAGCATTTAGTCTAATTGTTGCTTGGTATTCTAAGATCTCACTTCCTCTGTACATGGATTTCCTTTGGTGTGAAATATTTCAGGCATTGCAGCATGTTTTTGCTGTACAGCTTCTAATAATAGTTTATTACCACAATGCACTATCATCTAGACATCTCAGACATCAAGTTTGTGATCAACTTCGACTTCCCAAGCTCTACAGAGGACTACATTCACAGGATTGGTAGAACTGCACGGTCCGATCGTACAGGGACATCGTACACATTCTTCACYGTCAACAATGCTAAACAGGCCAAGGACTTGATTCATGTTTTGCAAGAGGCAAAACAGCATGTAAACCCAAAACTCTACAACATGATAGAAATGGCCAAAARCTTTGGAAAAAGTGAGTAATATATTTGTTTACTCTGCTTTGTACAATACACCTCTCCCCCTCATGGGGTTCATGATCTTGGAGCAACTTGTAGGGGTGTGTTGTGAAGAAATAGAAAATCCACATGTGTTGTGTGCAGTTATAAAGGATGTGGGGGTTGGCAGAACATGAGAGAAGTGTTAGGAGAAGCAAGACACTTAGGGGAATGTTTTGTTAGACCACTTAAGTGTTCTGCCAATCCCCAAATACTTTGTAACTCCACACTGCACAGCAAGCAAATTTTTTATTTTGTGTAGAGTTGAGAGAATTTCTTTGAACTTGGCCCTTAGTGATTTTGATTGATGAAATTCAAGACTCCAGACAGATGGACTAATTTAGGTTGCATAATTTTGGAAATGGGTGTAATGTGGTATCACTAGCTGGATTTATTATCAAATGTTATTTTATAAACTTTTTGTTTACTGCTGTTGCAGAGAGAGATCGATTCCGTAGAGATGGTGGAAGACCGAGTTACCATGACACCAGAAGTGGTGGTGGAAGTAGCAGAGGTGGTGGTGGATCCTATGGCTCTAGATCTGGTGGCATGATGAATGGCTATGGTTCAAGAAATGATGGTGGTAGCAGCGGAAGAAACAGCTCTAGCCATGGAAGCAGCAGTAGATTCAACAGYAGTCATCAAGGTTCACAAAAGGCCCCTCCACCACCATCTAGCAACCCTCCTTCCAACCAGAGTTGGAACCAAAATCCCAACTACAATCAGAACCAGAATGCAAGTTACAGCCAGAATTATCAGAGTTCATATGGACCAGCACTTCCCCCACACCCTCCCCCCACACAACAGTACACCCAACCTCCCCCTCCCCCACCTCCTACCCAGGCCATGGTGAACCAACAAGCTCAATACACACAGGCTTATCAACAGGCATATCAGAATTATCAACAAACKGCTCAACAAGCAACCACACAACAACAGCCGTATCTTTACAATACTACAACAACTAAATAGAATCATTCAATCCGTATGAGGAATCTTAGTACTTTTTATCTTGGTGTAGAAGCTAACACTAATAACTACATATATGAATACTTAACTCATGAAGTAGTTTAGCAGACTAACAGATTGAGAGATCTCATTTCCATTGTTTTCTTTTGTGTCAATTTGACTTATTTCAATCAATTTTTATTACATGGCTTAARTAAAATCAATCCAGTTTACTTCACAAACTGGGTTTGCAATGTTAATATATGGCTTASCACTTTATTTTATGCCAGAGTGCATACTATATGTACTTATTTCAATAAAGTTAGTCACCTGAAAAGCTACAAAGCAGAGACCAAYAAGGATTATGGGTAGTAACATTTTACATGTTTCAACCGCTTTGACAACTGTTGATGGACTTGCACATCTTCTATCAATACAGTCTCACCTCTCCTTTGCATCCTCAAGCTGCAGTTTGTATCAAAAATGTTTTGTTTGAAATGAATTGTTTCCCATGATCCTCAGTGATCTCAGCTTTCTAGGTTTTTGGTGACTAACTTTATCGAAATAAGTGTATATGAAAAACTTCGTAAGAAATAATTTCTTACATTGATTTTACAAATTAGTAAGTTCAGTAGACTGTAGACCTACAATATATAACGTACAATTTTGTTAACTTTTTCATGGATATATGGTATGCATTCTATATGTTTGCAACTGTTCCTGTTTTTAAGGGTGACTATCCTGCTAAGCAGAAAGCTGAAATATTCATACTTCTGATATATCTCTMTCAGATTTGCTTTAGTTTATTTTGGGGGGAAGAGGAAAATCTTGAGATTTATGCTAAATGTATTTATTTGACACGGATTTGACAAAATAAACATGTTTTTAGATATTAACTTGTGTTCTTAGTTGAGAGTTCTTTTGGTTGAAAATATCCAAGAATAGCTGGACTGCTGTAGTGACTTATGTATCCTCTTGTTAAGAATTGCAAAGTCAGTTTTGAGATATCCAGTTTTGACATAACTATTCAAAAAAACCTGTTAATAATTGTCTCTAGATGTATGTCCATATTTCATTTTTGTCAAACTTTTTTGAAAATATTARTATACATGAAATGAAAAACTTAGCGAAATATTCCCTGGGTTTTAGAGGTATTTACCCACAGATTTACCGAGAGCTGGTCCTAGCTGCCTTTCAGAGGTATTTCCACCAGCACATTTTAATGAGAACAGCTCTCGGTAAATCTGGAGGGGGGGGGGGGGATCCCTCTGGAACCCAGGGTAAGCATCTTTTGGATGTGGGGGTACACATGCACTTTATTTTATGCCAAAGCTCATTCTTTCCCACTTCACTTAGTAGAGTGCTCGCACTAAATCCGTGAAACAAATAATTTTTAGCACTAAATAGTGATAATTTAACAATAGAAAACAAAGGATTCTGTATGAAATAGTACTAATTAGTACTATTTGATGTTCACGGTTTTAGTGCGTGCACTCTACTAGTACATACACGCCTTGTTCAATAAAACTAACGTGCATATTTTAAAAATCATTTATTTTTCCAAGGTAAGGTCATATTGATGTATTTTAAAAGTATATAGTAAAGTTCAGTTTCTTATGATCAGTTTTAATTTACTCGTGTATTGTCATATTACATGTAYTGTCATATTACATTTTTTATTTTATCAAAACTGGATCTTGTACTAAAATTAACACATTTTCTAGAAAAAATTGACTTGTACAGCAAAACGTTTTAGCATGTTTTTACGTAGGAATGGACCACTTTAGAAAAAGAATTGAACAGTTAATCAAATTCTTAAATTCGAGTGCCAACCCTGTGTAGAATCTTTCATCCAGGTAAATAGGGAAGACATAAAATGTTACGAAACAAATCCACATCTAAACAGATTTACTAGGGGTCATCACAACCCTATGACAGTTTAACTGTTAATAAGAGCTGTTCCTGAAGAGKTCTACAGCAAAMATTTTTGTAGGACTCTYTACSTTTACAAATGTTTAATAGGATGTTTGCATGATGGCGTCAATGGCCTCTACTACCAGACTCSCTTGCATACTTCCTTTTGTTCAGTTAATATTCTAACCCTAACCCAAAGCATTATGGTAGTGGGAGTCAAATTACGCCATCTTGCAAACGTCCTATTCCCCATGTCATTACCTAGCGAGCAAGATTGTTTCAGTTGTTTCGATATTTATGTGTCTTCTCATGTTCAGCCATTAAACAAAGAAATAATACTCTGGGGATGTGGATGGTATGAGTTGGGAAAACATTATACCAAAGCTAAAGRTATCTATATATTGGGTCGCAAGATGCTATTAAAGTGACCTTAAATCTGTGTACAAAATTGGATAATAGATTCTATTACTCTAATATAGTCCATTGATCTCGTCCCAGAGCAAAGACCCAGTCATTCATCAACTGATTTTTCCCATTTCTCTGAGGTATGTTGTAATCCAGCTACCAACATCAACAGGTCTGCTGTCATATTCAATTATAAATGGATGATCCTATGGGGGAAATATTGAATAGAAAATAGTCAGTATTTTGTTGAGATGAGGAGGGAACCGAAAATGAACTTACTAATAATTGGCTGTAATTTGGTCGTTCTTTGTAATCCTTTTTTAAGCTGTGAAAAGAATGTATCGTCTTGTTTAAAAAACCTTGTAGTTTCCAAAATTTGCATTGCTCTATTAACTTCAATCTATTAACTCCCTTGTATCATTCTGATTAACTTTGGCATGGTATATATATTATATCCTTGGGTGTGTCCTCTTCCTATAGATCTCAGCGTGGGCGTAGTGTTTTCCCATTTGAGACCACCTGTCATTGCCTTAGTTGAAATTATCCATATTCATGTGTCTTATCATGTGCAACCGAGTGCAAACGTTAAACAAAGAAATGATACTCTAGGGAATGACGTGGTCTGAAAWGGGAAAACATTAAGCCCAAGCCAAGGAATTCTATTGGCTGTATGTTTAAAAGGTGCATTTGTTTTGTGGTAGGTGTGGAGGGAATAGCCTTCTTATGCCAGTGCTCTTACATTCGCTAATGTATTATTAATGCTTACCATTGAATTATAAAATCCCTAAATGAATCRGAAAAAGGTCCATCAGGCAGAGAGGGAGAGGGTTCATGGACAACTTGCTTTAGTTGTTCAAATGGTGTCTTCCATTGGTTATATGGGAACTTTCCTGTTGCAAGTTCGATCTGCAAAGAAAAATTGATTTCTTTTGTAAAAATATATCCACTTTGTTCTGACTTATTGACTGCAGACAGTGTCAATGGTTAAGATTTTTATTAAACATAGAAAAATAATGACAGCAATAACCAAATCTTCACAATTTGCGGCCAAGTTGATGCCAAAAGCCTAATACCCAAGGTACATGTTGCTTATGGAAGACTTGGAAAGTAATATTACCTTCAAATTTCAAGACAGAACTTATTCACTGATTAAATGGGAATTTTGCTTGTTTAAGAGAGGAAAATAACCCAGGGGGGGGGGGGAGTACTCCCATATATGGACTATACGGGGATGATCCGCTGAACAGGGTATGGTTTTTCGAGCTTCTTGTCATAAACAGGGTATGCAATTTCACTCAAGTTYCAAGTTCTTCCTGAGTTTCCTGTCATATTCAGGGTTTCTACTTTCGTATTGACCGAAACTGGTTATTATGGTAGTCAAAAAAACAACACGCGAGCTGACATGATAATTGAAACAGGACCTTAGTGCAATTAATTATATCTTTTGTCATAAACAGGGTACCCCTTTCAGAATCCCAGTGGAACACCCCTACCCAAATCCTGGCGGATCACCCCAGGGGAAAATAGTTAAGAACCCGGGGGAAAATCCTCAAATCAAAGGAGACGTTACAAACTCTATTCCTGCATCTGTGTTCTTATACATACCATYGTAATTCCAAGACTCCAAATATCTGATCTTATATCGTATCCTTTCATGTCTCTGTCTGGATTGATCCTTTCAGGCTAAAATGTAAACAAAATAATATAATCACATTCCAATTACTCCCTCAAGTCCCTGTACAACACAGTAGTACACCCTCTGCAATGGTAGGTACAGAAGCATAAGAGAAATGCATTTCCTTCTTGGCTTGTCCTTATATGGGACTCTTGTCCTGTTTGCAATGATCTCAATCAGGTCTGTCTTATTTTCTTTAAATTTAGGTGGTTCCTATAATTTGTTCATACTTTTAAGTTCATTCTCAATCTCAACCTTGGTTGAAAAGCTAATAAATAAAGTGGATGAATGGATGTGAATGGATGGATGAATGAATGAATAGATGGATGGATGAATGAGTAAACGAATGGATGAATAAATGATATACACAGGTGTTTATCATTACTTACTGCCATGTATGGTTTGCAGCCTGCATCGACAGTCTTAGCCAGAGAATCAACTAACTGACCACTGATTCCAAAGTCACATAACTTAAAGTTACCATTTTCGTCGGCTAAAATATTGGATGGYTTGACATCTGCAGAAATATGAGAATGAATATTCAGGAACACTTGTAGAAATTGCATGGCTTTTAGTAAGCACAGGTGGTGTGYGCTGCCAATGCATGGCCCCTCACAAATGCGACCTGGGTTTGAGTCCTGTCAGGCTCATTGTCATGTGAGCAGAGTTGTATTTTGATTTGAAGGTTTTTCTCTGGGTTCTCCAGTTTTACTCCCTCAAAAAAAAATCAACTTCTAAATTCTAATTCGATCTTAGGAGATATTCTTGATACAGGCTATGTTTCCTTTTCGCCTCATAATGCAAATATAATGCAAATAAATTAGTTATCATGAAATTCTATATAATTAATAGTTATTATATGTGTGGCAGCCATGACAGGAGGCAGGAATCTGGTGTCATCTGATTGACATGAAAAAGGAACCAGTCTCCCAGTGGGAAATACTCTATTGTTGTGCCTCCTGTCATGGCTGCCATCATRAGATGGTGCAAAGCCTCTATATACCTCTGTGTATGACTTTAAGTTGACTGTGTAAATAATCAAGAGCATGAACAACCTAAAAGAAACCAGTTATGAATACATTATTATTTTAGTAGCTGACCAGATATCAAAAAATGAATTATATTCTGGAATATAACCTGATTGATTCCCTGTAAGGTATTCGATTGTTTCCCCTACGCATTGGTTCGCCTACTGAAGTTCGCCTATGTATAAGTTTTGCCTACTGAAGTTCGCCTACGTAATACACTGGCACCGATTCATAAGTAGAAGCATTAGATGACAAAAAGAGGAAAACTTTAATGATCAATGTAACAACCTCTAAGTCAGCTGCAGGGCATGGCTAACTTACATATTGGATTGGAATTTTACTTCTTGGGTTTTGTGGAGGGATTGAGGAAAACTTACTGGAGAACCCAGAGACAAACCCTTGAATCAAAAGAGAGACCTACAAACTCTACTCATATGACATGTGATACCAAGTCTGGATCAAAGCAATGACAAGTATATTTTTTAACTCACAGATAGAACACTGCAGAAATAAACTCTAGGCTGATCTACATCAAGGCAAGGCTAACTCACAGGTTGAACCCTGAAACAACCTCTGGGCTGATGTATGTCAAGGCAAGGGTAACTCAAAAAATCAAACTGAAATAATCTTAATACTCTTTCTCATACTTACAGAAACTGCAATTTTTCCAAGTACTTCTTCTGGAATTCGCTGTCCAGGTTTTGAGTAAACAAGTTTATATAAATCATACAAAGATGTTTTCATAAGCTCCATACATATCCAAACATCACCCTAAAACAATGTTTGAAAAGTTTAGATAGTGATCTATCAAAAATACTGACAATTAATTTTATGACTAGTATGTAAAATAATGCATGTTTATGTACCTCTCTGAACAAGGCTCCATAAAACTGTACTGTAAAAGGATAATTGCTGACTCTCATCGAAATATCCAGGTCCATCAGAAGCCGTTTTTGCTCTGTTGAGTTAACATTGGCCCTGATTCTCTGGGGAATAAAAATGATACCATGTTTAGTGTTATGTTGCATCACCTTCTTCTTTCCCAAGACTACGAACACAACAACCCACTGGTTGGCTAAGTATACAGTCAATTCAAAAAATGTTGTCGTCGACCGGCTCAAGCCTACGCGACTGGACYGAAAGGAATATGGGTAAAAATCACTGGAGCGGTTAAATATTCGCTCTGAATTAATTGTTCCCGCTAGTAATAAGATAATAATGGTGAGAAACAATCCATCAAATGCATGTCTTTGGGTTTAGGGAAAGAAAAACAAAGTAGTTATGATTCAGTTCACAATTCCGAAAGTATGAAGGCATTAAAAAAACGTCTCCTTCAACCCTTCCCGCTCGCCTACGAAGGTTCRTGCTGTTARCCAGGCATAACTAGTCAGATAAAATTATGGAGTCAACTTGGCTTCAATGATTGCTACCCAGAGTTCTTTTCGGTCAAGTCGCGTAAGCTTGAGTTGGTCAATGACAACATTTTTTGAATTGACTGTAGGCAAAATAACTGTAAAGGCAATGCATATATTGGTGCCTTCATAATAGTCCACAGTATGTGTATARTGGAGTGCTATCATTATCTCAAACCGAACAGAAGAACAGAAAAGGTTCAAAATAATGGGGTTTAAAATAGTAGGAACATCAACCCCGAGTTGGAGATAATGTGAAGTTTAAGATATCTGGAGTTTATTTAATTAGAATAACAGGACCCCACTGTGTTTCATACCTTCATGTCTTTTACTTGGATAAAGATCATAAACATCGTAGCTACTTGGCTATCTTGTTCAAGATGGTAATGTAATACCTATTAAGTTCTTCTTCAGCTTTACCCACCACAAGTTAGTTACATCGATCATTACAATGAAATGTGCTATGATATTAATACTACACCTATTGTCTAGAGGAAAACTGACCGTCAATGCATGGAAAACGTACCTTGACAGCCATGACAGTCTGTGTTGGCTCGTGTACCATCTTGAAGACATAGCCATAAGCACCATGTCCTAGTTCTTCTATTTCTTTGAGTTCTCCAGCATTACAATTGAATTCCTTAACACACAATAGAAGTATATTTATATATTACACATTTCGGGTTTATAATCAGGTGATAAAGCCGTGAATTAAAACCATGAGTGAAGCGATAYGATATCACTTCAGGGTAAACTGGAAACTGCAAATTTTGTCATTTTATCAACCTTAAATATGTTTTCACTAACTCGCTCACAGACCCACTTATTCGCGATATGATATGGCAACTCGTGAATACAAAATAATTATATCAAGCTCTTAACATGTGATAATCTCTACATATCATTTCTCTCTACTGATTTTGGAGGGGTGGTTAGTCCCTACAGATTWAAAAATACTGCACAATGAAAGATATCATGAAATAGGTCACTTTAAAGCAGTAATAAACATTGCAACAAGGCTTTGGTASGCCTACCTGCCCATTTACTGTAATCGTTGCTTTGTCTGATAAATTTCTTGGAGGCGTTACCCTTGAAAAAAATGCATTAAAACCAGGGTTACTGACTCGTCTTACAAAGCAAAATCTGAGAATGGACAAATTGATGATGGCAGATTTCTTTCTTATGTAAGCACCATTCTACAAAGTGAACAAMTCTTACTCACGGGGTAATGGGTGGGGATTGTGTTGAGTCTTTRAAATTAAATTTAGGCTTTGGCTTCTTTGGTTTCTGACCTGTATGTGGGCAAAATTTCAAAAACAAGTGGTTAATGTTTCGCTTAAAACCAGGTAATAGTAATTGTAGTGATAGTGGGTGGGTTGTATACTCAAACATTTGCATCTGGATAGAAAGACTTGGCAAAGACTTATTATTATCAATATTTCAGGAGCATTCTTCTATGTATTTTTGTATTATTATTTACTTCTCGACTAAGTAATCACCGCGTTTTCCCTTCCCACCTCATCCCTCCCCCCGCCTCCCCCATCCGACGTTAACGTCTGCATCAGGTGTATGAGTGGGGTTTTTTTTTGGCTTAAAAAAAATTGATGAAACTTTAAGAAGTTTCRACAGTTGACAAACTCAAGTGTAATGAGTCAGAACGAGTTAGTCTCTCRAAAATAATTCACAGAATTTTTTCCCCTTCGAGATACAGGAAGTCGATCGAGTTGACACACTTGTTTCGAGTTTGCCCTACTTTCGCCTCGAAGAAATCTTATTGTCTCCACTAATTAGTAGTAATGGAAGGCAATATAATACATTTAATACAGGGAGAGACTTTATCAGAGATATTCTAGGTTTTACTTAGATGTATGAGTAACGGTATTTAGTCTTTTAAATTCTACTTCCACGTCTAGAGGTGATGATGTCGTAAATGAGAATTGTCATTACGATCATGTATGGTTTTGCCTAAGTTCAATGAAAGCATCCACTTGTTGCTTTTTAATGCAAAGGCACAAGAAGTAGTCAAGCTAATGGCTTTTCTYGCTTGGATAAAAACTTAATGAAGTGTTTCAACAAAATAGCTTACGTTTTCATTTTCATTGAGCTGGTTTGGAGAAAATAACCGAGGCGTCACAGCACAATTGATTCACGATTTCACTGCGTTAAGTGTCGTTATTACTCTTATTATCTTACCACTTTTCGGCGACCCTGACATACTTCCAATTATGATGTACAATCCACGTAATAATTTAAAGAATATTCCCAGTMGATTCCAAATACACTCCTTGATATCCTTCGATTAGATGATGTCCTTCAACCCGGGCCTTCAACTGCGATGATCTCAATGATCAGACTCAGTTGACGTCGATTCAGAAGCGGAAATAAGATGCGATGGGATTCCCCTATTAATAAAAACAGTGTTTAGCTATGCAGGCCGGTAGTTTTGCCGTCACTTCTTTACATTACATCGTCTCTTGACATCGAATCATTGCATCCATTTCGAACAAGTCATCGACCAAAATGGAACTGCGGCTGCGATGCTTTTGGTCTGCGGTGTCATACTTGACCCAGACCCTTACATCTCACGCGCAATTCTACCTAACCCGACAGTCACCTAGACTGTGAATACTGTATTCGACCCCAATTCCTCGACTTGAAACAGTTGTTTGAAGGAAATAGTGCAACCCTGATATTTTATAGTATTTGTA